TTATTTACTGCGATGTGCGAAGATAGTTTAAAACCATCGTACCTCAAAAATTGGTTAAATTCGACTGTCGAAGATTTAACGAAGCTTGAAAAGGAAGCTGCCCCTTCCGGTTGGCTTTTACAGTGGGATAGGTATGAAATTTGCTATGAAAAAACTTAATTTTTTGAGTTTTATAAGAAATTTTGATTGTGTATCTCTTCGATTTTTTTCCCGTTATTAACCTATTTTCCACAGCGAACGTTTTCGTCGATTTATTATTAAATCTAGGATTTTGATCACATTTTAAGGTGAGTTTAGATTTATTTTATGGATTTAATTGTAGCTTTTAAAAATGTTTGTGTTTAATTCCGTTGTTTATTATTTAGAGGTTATAATAAATGTTCCCTAATGATATGTATTAAAGGAAGGTTTGTATGTATATTTTTATAAACTTTAGATGTAGCTTTATAATTTAATTGTGGGTTTAAGAAGAATAATTAACATTTTTTTCTGTATTTAGGTGTATTCCAGTTAATTTTTACCTCAATATTCAAGTTGTGAAGATCTTCAATTTCAAAATTAATCATTTTTTTTTACTTGTTTAATAAAATTTAAATACAATAAATACAGGGCAGGTATAGTATTTAAAAAAAATTGAAACCTTTTAAATAGATTTGTAAAAATTTTGTACTTTATAAAATTAATAGATAAAAAACTATGTACGCGATTTTCTTTTGGAATGTTTTAGGTCTCACAAACGTTATTACTATCATAATCAAGCAACGGGCGACAGTCAATGGGATTTTCCAGAAGCGGATGCAATCCGAACCGAAGAAGCCATGGATATTTCGATGACGCCACCTCATGATGATCAATCAACAAATCGATGTTTAGAAAGCGAATCGCAAGCTGAACCTCCACCGCCCCCATCTATAAGAAATAAAAGTATTTCACCTCCCCCGCCTCCAATTATAAGTAATATTGATTAATTTCTAAATAATTTATAAGATAATTATTAAATTTAATAAGGTAAAATCGATAATGTTGATCAACCATTACCTCCCGGCGTCGAAGAAGACAAAGAAAAAGCACCAAACGGAAAAGATGGGAGTTTTTCTTCCGAATTATCGTCCTTTTATTCCGATATAGCGGCCATAGAAAGTAATCTACCTCAACCTGTTACAATTAAAACTAATCCAGACGAGATTAAGCCTGAGGAAATTATTTCACAACCTCCAAAAAAGAAGAAAAAGGTTAAAGTCTCATCAGGATTAGCAATGAAGAAAAAAGGAGTTTCACAAATGGTTGAAAAGTGGAAAAATTTGCAAAAAAATTATGATTAATTGTAATTATATTAACTAAATAAAACTATTATACTCTTTTTTTGAACCCTTTTTAATTTCATTTTCTTTTTATTTTCAGTTTATTTCATGACATTTCATAAAAGTGACATTTAATTTTGACAAATTGGTGTGAAGTTGGTGACATTTAATTTGTGTCACATTGACGTTTAAACTTTATTCAAAAATTTATTAAAAAAAACGAGTTTTAAAGGGTAGTCATTTTTCACAGACTGAATAATAGCGGCAAATAATCATTATTCACTGGTAATCAACTTGATATACTTGAATAATTATTTGAAACGTCAAAATTTCAAAAAACGTCAATCTAATTGTTTTAGGACTTTCTAAAGGTTCGACATTAAAAAAACGTAAACAAATTCCTTTTTTCCTATGATTTAAGCATAAATTAGTTAATTTTCTTAAAAAAAAATATGACGTTTCATAAAATTGACATTTAATTTTGGCAAATTGTTGTGAAGTTGGTTATAGTTGGTAACTTGCAAAAAAATTATGATTAATTGTAATTATATTAACTAAATAAAACTATTATACTCTTTTTTTGAACCCTTTTTATTTTTCCATCAATTCTTAAAAAAAAAAAATTACATCTTAAGCGACCAAAGCCGATGCTGTGCTTGATTCATATTTCCAATTCGGGGCCAAAACGCTTTTAGTTTTGTAATACCTGGCAAGTCGATGAATACGAGACTCGACCAAAATCAATCGGAACTTGCTATCCTTATCCTTCCTGTTACGTTCCAAATGTTTGCGAATAGCAACAGCTTTTTTAATCAAATAATATAAATCTTCTGGTAAATCAGGTGCTAAACCCATCGCCTTCATGATACGAAGAATCTTATTCCCCGTAACAAATCTAACTTGGGCTACACCATGAGAATCCCTGAGGATAACACCGATTTGAGATGGAGTCAAACCTTTTTTACCTAACTTAAAAATGTGCTCTTTAACTTCCTCTGGGGTGAGTTTAAGCCATGTGGGTACTGTACGACGGTAAGGTAGAGCCGATTGGGCTATACCCTTCCTAAAAATCACAAAAAAAGATATTAAAACACGCGGCGACATAACCTAAAAAAGTTATTTCATAAAATTCCTATTAGGGTGTATAATTATGATTTATAGCTAGATTTTTATGGAATTTACGATTTAATTAAAAAAAACTTACCCAGGTGCGTGCATACGACCCATTTTTTAACGTTTTTAAACGGAGATCAACACGTTACAAATGTCGACAGCAAAAAGGAGGTTTGCTTACTTCCTTTTGACGTTTGTTAGAATTGGTGTTTAATAGAATTACTCTTTTAATGAAAAACAAATCATTTTAGAGCTAAAATAAATTATTTTTATTTTAAAATTATTTATATTTATCTTGAAATTGTAATTAAAATAAAATTTCATTAAAACATTTTTTATTATTATAAATTATAAGTCATCAACAAATAGAAAGTTTTTAATAGATTATGCATTTCATAGAATATGTCAAAAATAACTTTTAAGCATACAAATTAATTAAAAATAATAACAATTGGTGTAAATATTATTATATATTTGCTAATTTTTCATACTTAGTCCCATGTTAACACCGCCAATTTCAATTGTGACATATTTTTAATTTTAGAAGCACTTTTCGGATAATTTTTTGATTTTAGGACAAGATATATAGGATCCATCCAACGTAACTTAGAAACGTCCTAAAGTTAAAAAGGAAATAACTTTTAATGAATGAATAAAAATAAAAACCGGAAATTAAAGAAATCTGTAATTTATTTAATAACAACTCCGATAGGTGTCAACACTGATAAAGTTACTTCATAAATTTAATTGATTATATAAAGTTTAATTTATTACTTATGTTAATTCTGCGAAAATATAAAAATTATTTCGTAGTAGTTGATTTGGTAGCAGTGTCTGTCAAATAACTTAATAAGCACTTCTTATTTTCTGTGAAAAACACATATATATATATATATATATATATATATATATATATATATATACAGGTGTCCCATGTAAGCAACAAAGTACATATTTTTATACATACGGGCTGTTCCATAACGACGTACTGAAATAAACATATGTTATTTTAAATGGAATGATATAGTTTTTATTGCGTATTCTGATTCTACACACAAAACTAAGATGACTTTGATAAGACATGTTAATAACTAATGCTTTTAGTTTTTGAGTTATTTTAATTAGACGTTTTTTTAACAATTAACACTGTGTCCTTCAAATATGAATTTCTTGGCGACTGATCGAGCTAGAAAGTTAAAATTTGTGACAGTTGCTGCTTGGATATCCTTAAATAGAGTGCCATTGGCTACATTGGTCTAGCTTATACAAGTTCAAAAATGTAACTACTATTTTACCTTATTATACCATATACTTTTTGAGCAAGACAAGTATTTCGTTGACATTGTTCCAAAACAAAAACCATTGTCACAAATTCGGCTTTTGTGTAATTCATAATCAAGCATTAACCAATAAACAAGTAGACTATTAATAAAAATATGACATTTAAAAATTCGTTTAATTTGTCATCGTTAACTTGTTGTTTTTTTAATTTGGATCAAGTCAACGCTTACCACCTGTGAAATTACAAACAATTATGAGGTCATCACTTGAAAGCTGTCAAATCCATATATTTCATGGCCTACTAATAAAAAAAATAAATAAAATATGCCATTCTTTGCATGATTTTGATTCATTCTGCTCTATCTCAACAACTGCAACAGATAGGTATAGGGAGATGTACTGAAGATTTGTAGAGAATTAAATTCTCTATTTGATAAGCTAATCAAATATGGGGTGTTCCATTTAAAATTGTTGACTTTTTTGCAATTGAATATGGTAAAATAGTAGTTGCATTTTTGAACACCTGTATAAGATAGACCAAAGATGCAGCCAATGACGCTCTATTTAAGGATATTCAAGCAGCAGTTGTTACAAATTTTAACTTTCTAGCTCGATCAGTCGCCAAGAAATTCATATTTGAAGGGCACAGAGTTAATTGCTAAAAAAAGCTTCAAATTAAAATAACTCAAAAACTAAAAGCACTAGGTATCAACATGTCTTATAAAAGTCAACTTAGTTTTATATGTAGAATCAGAATACGCAATAAAAATTATATAATTAGATTTAAAATAACATCTTTATTTCAGTACGTCGTTATGGATCACTCTGTATGTATAAAAATATTTTTTGTTTATAGTGTGCTAAATTTCCTACATCTTTTATCTAAGGAAGAATCGGCTCCTTAATGCCATTTATGTATTTTGTTGCTTATGTGGGACACCTGTATATACGGACTGTATCTAAACTGATGTGAAAGATTTTAAGGGGTGATTTTTCAAATAAAATGACACTTTTTGACGATTTTTATAATCCAAAAATGTTATTATAAGGGGGTGAAGAAATCCACCCCCATAATACTTTGCATCAGAACTTTTAAATGCGTCTACATTTTTCTACTTAAAAACTGGATTTAAATAGAGGACGCAACTTCTTTATCTCTTCACATTTTCTCCTAAAATTATTAGTTTGATCACAAAAAAATAAAATAATACACAGACTCAGGTGAATTAATTCATATTGGTTATTATTAGTCAAAGAAATGAAGTTATGTCAAATTGATCTCAGCATTATTTTATTTTTTGTGATCAAACTTACAATTTGTTAGTTATAAAATGTCAAGAGATAAGAAAGATTTTTTCCCTTAACTTTAGAGGGTTATAACTTGGAGGAGAAGGGGTTGAACAAAAAGTTATATGAAAGATACCTTTAGTTTTTGATGAAAAATCACCCCTTGAAATCTTTCACATCAATTTAGAAACACCTGTATATAGGACAGGAAGCAATATTATAATAATAACAATATAATTATAATAACTGCGATTTGTCTGCTTTGGAAAACATGTTTTCCTCCACAACACTTTTATTAAGTGATTCCTTTTTGGGGCCATCTCTGATTTGTGATCTTAAAGTTCTTAGGTGTTGTTTTAATGCATTTTTTTCTTCCAATACTAGTTCAAAGTCATTTGGAAGAACCCTTTGATTACCATAGATGAAAAAATAAAAAAACTGAGGTAATAATACGTCCAGTTTATGCAAATACCTTTCATACTTTTTGTATACCCGAAGAAGGTGATGCAGGTCTTTTAACATTAGATGGAATTAATAAATCTTCCATGACATGGGCGTTTTTTCACATTGTTTCTACTCTGTGGGGAATTACTGGTGAATTAATTAAATTACGTTAATTGTTATTATTTTTAACAACTTTATTATTTTGTGGTTTAAACTGTCATTGTCATTAAACCGTTCGATTATAATGAAAATTAGCGCCATCTATCCGCTTGACGTCACATTAATTATGACGTTCGTGACTATGTTCATTATCGTTTCGGTTCCGTAAAGTGCCAGAGGGGTACGAATGGAGTAATGGCGGACGTTTAGTTTAGTTCATTCAACACCGATTTATCATTTAGAAGAATCCAACAAAAACAACCCAAAACGCACGTTATTAGTGGCGATATAGGAAAAACGCAACCGAAAAATAATGATACCATAACCATATGGTGTTCTAACGTTAGTTTTAAGCAAATATTTCGCCGTGAAATGCCATCTTTAGTGCTACAAAAGAATTTTTTTTAAGGTGAAAACTGGTTTTCGATATGAGCGAGGATAGCGATAAAGGCCCGGAAAAGGGCTCCAGGAAACGTCTCCCTGAGGCTATATGCAGTAGTGAAAGTTCAGATAGTGATAGCTCCTTCGAATCCGTTCCTAAACCCAAGAAGATTAGGGTTAGAAACTATATTAGTGATAGTGTTTCCGATAGTGATAGTTCCATTGAAATCGTGCATAAACGACGCGTTACGGTAAAAAGAATTCGATGTTTGAGACATAATTAAACTAAAAATTTCTTTTTTTTTAATACAGCGTTTAAACAGCGATTTACAAAGTAATACTTCAACATCATCTGGTTCTGATATCATTCATTTGCGTCGTAACGCTCGCCCCCTTTCAAATATGGAGGATTCTTCGGATTGTTCAGAATCTGAATGGGAACTTGAGGAACCAAGCAATAATAACCCTCAAATTGAAGCTTCTTCTGAAACGTCCGGGGGTGAAGAACGCGAACATTGCCCCATTTGCTTAGTAAAATTTCGAAATCAAGATATTGGAACCCCTGAGTCTTGTGATCATTCGTTTTGTCTTGATTGCATATTGGAGTGGGCGAAAAAAGTTCAAACATGCCCCGTGGACAGGCAACCTTTTGGAATTGTGTTACACAGGGAATCAATTAATGGAAAAGTTGTTAATCAAGTTGCTGTTATGAAAGAAGAAGAAATCCCTGATGATGATGTAGTACTTGATTTAACTTTTTGTCAAATTTGTGGATCTCCTGATAATGAAGATACGATGTTATTGTGTGATGCTTGCGATATGGGGTACCACATGTTGTGTTTGGACCCTCCGTTAGATGAAATCCCTGAAGGAGTTTGGATGTGCCCGTATTGTACACCTGTTCATCACGTTATTGGATTAGAATTGGATCAAAGGAATGTAATGAATAGGTGAATAAAATCATTATTATTTTTGATCTAACAATAAAATATTTAAAAGTCGCCCTAAATTTCTAATAAAATTAAATTTTCATTGTGTTATGTAGATTTAGAAATATTTTATTAAAAGCTTTTTCCAAAAAAAAATCCTTTTTTTTTATTTTTATCAAAATTAAAACATTAAAAAGAACCAAATCAAATTGAAATTAAACGATTTCTTAAAGGTCTTTACCGAGAACACGTCACATGGAACGAGTGCGTTCAACGATTCAAACCAATCGTGCTCAAACGACCACTCGAAATACCACCTCGACGTCCACGACTCGAAGACGCCGGAAAAAACGAACCAAAAGACGTACCAAAATTAAAATCGTCTATGAAACTAACGAAATCACGGGCGAAACCGTCGCTATTGAGACGAAAGTTAAGCAACGACGGAAACGAAGGAAACGGAAAGTTCCTCGGAGAAGAAATCGAGCGGTTGTACCAAAAACGGTCAAAAAACGACTTGCGGCACAACTTGGAATTTGTAAATTACGAACGGATGGGCAACTTTTACCGGATGTTCGTATTTCGAATAATTGTAACGATTTAACAGGTAAATTTAAATTTAAAAACGAGTAAATAATTTATATTTACAAAAAAAAGTGAGGTTATGATTATGTTTATTACTATTTTAGGTTATGTGAGGTTATGTTTATTTTTTTTTAATATAATTCGTAATTTCTACTTAACACTAATGTCCACTTTTAACAAAAATGCTCTAAAAAGTTTAGTTTCTAAAAGTTTAGTAACATTATTTTAACCCTTTGTGTCCCAAGAAGTCAAAAATTTTTGTGACAGAATTAAAACGCTATCAAAATACACTCAGTAAAGGCCTTTGGAATCAATTTTGGCTAAATATGCAATTCCCCCATTCCAGGAGGGATATTGGTACTTGGAAGTACCGCCAAGCATTGAAATATACTACTATTAGTGATGTTGCAGTATACAAAAACTTTTATTACTAATTTAAAAATATTACTACGTTTTTATTACGTTAGAAAATAAGTGACGATTGCTTTAGCTAAATCACATTATGATATTCAGAGAAAGAGTTCTTTTTTTCATTACAACATAAATAGCTTTGGCAGAACAGTTTCATAACTTCCTCTTTCGTTTGAACTTGCGCTACGACATTTTCGTGGACGCACTAAATTTGAATATTTATTTATCAGACTTGTAGCTATAGAACGACGAAAATCTGATAGAATCTTGAGAAAAAACATATTGAGCTAAGTGAATCTAAGTGTCAAAAAAGATGCTAATTCAAAATTTTCTGGAAGCC